CGAAAGGGCCGTTCCGCTTGCGTACTTTATTCTTACTGCACGCGTGTCCGTGAATGTGCCTGTGTGCGATTCGAACCCCGTAAATCAGCGTCGGTCGGTCGGTTGGTCGGTCGGTTGGTCGGTTGGTTGGTTGGTTGGTTGGTTGGTTGGTTGGTTGGTTGGTTGGTTGGTGACCTCGCGCGACGACTCCGACACACGGCTAGCAATTATTCATTCCGCGAGCTTCCGAATCTTGTTACATCTCGGATATGACAGCGATATTCTACCTCGCGACTCTGCCCGCTGCTTCAGCCAGTCGACTGACATTCAATTTTAACCAGTTGTAATCTGACATTCGTAGAATCACGTAGAATTCTATATTGGCTCTATTATTAAACCTTCGCCAAGCGAAGGCTATAGTCGCTCGAAAATGGATATTAAATTTGTGCACATTGAACAGACATTGTCAACTATTCGATTTTCAAAATTAATCCAATTAATCCAGTGGACGGAAAAAAAGAATCACGCGATATTTCGATTCTACGTTGGATACGAGTTTTCGTCTCTCTCGAAGAGAATTAACATGTCACCCCGGTGCTGTACCGTTATTAGAATGGACCACCCTGTATGCGTAGCCTCGTCGTCGGCGATTGCATACGGACGACATACGAACGTTCAGTTCACCACGGCCGGCGCTCGTTGATGCTCCAAGTCAAAATAAACGATGTTCTCCTGTCTTCATTGCCATCGTCGCCGCCGCTCCCAGAAGCGGCGGGAACCGTTGGTGCAACGCCCCGCCCAACGCGATTCTCATCCTCTTTCATTCTCAACGGACTTTGTCAAAGTTTAGCCCACTTTGGACGATTTACAAGCCGCGACAACTTGTATTTATAATTTTACGGGTTTAGATGCTTACCGTATTGAACGTCATGAAATTATTGTATCATTCGTACACGTTCTCACACTGCCTACTTCAAAATGTAAGAAGCAAAATACGTTCCGAAAGATTCCCAGATAGACTTTCAGAAAAATTCGCAGCAAAAAGTATACCTAACCTATATCAACCACGCGTTCTCTAATCAATTCTATCATCAATTCTATCGTCATTCACATCCGTTCGCAGACTTTGACGAATAATGCCAGTTTCTAGCGATGCAGTAAAATTTTAATTTTAATTTCTCAGTTCAATTGACTCTTCATCTCTTTTCCACTTCTTAAACTACGATAGAAAAAGATGAAGAGAGTCGGTTGAACCGAGATTAAAATGAAACTGTTCTTGTATACGCATTGGTACGAGAAACGGGCGCAACTCTTCATCTTTTAGTGATTCTAAAAATTAAAAAAAGAAAAAAAAGAAAATTTAAAACGAAGAGCAAGTTGAACCGAGATTAAAGTTAATCTATATCGGTAGAAACGGGCATTAGAGAGGACAAGCCGGTATTTTAACGAGCGATGCGTAACGGAGGGGAAAACCGACTGCTCGGCCAAGTTTGTACCCGCGCGGGCGTGTTTTTCACGGCGTGAACGGCGGTTTTTAGAAAGTATACGTCCCCCTCGTCGCCAAATATATTTCAACCGGGGTTATTATTATCTCGCGAAACCCAGAACGGTCGATAGCTCTCCTCCCGTCGTCGTGGCCGTCGTGACTCAAAGTCGAGCCGAGCCGAGCCGAGAACGGTCGAATCGAGCCGAGCCGAACCGAATCCGAGAGAGAACGCGCGAGGTCATGTCAACTCTTCGTTGACGTGTGAAAAAGGCGATTCTCTCTCGATTCGAGGCGCGTCGCGATAAAGACGTAAGATGTAAGATGCAAGATGTAAGACTCGGTGGGCAACGACGCGTCGTTAATTCGCACGTGACCATTTTGCGTTTCCGACGTGTCGATAATATTGTCCACACGCACAATTAATCGTCGAAGAATGAAAAGCGCAATTTACAATAACGTCGTTATTAACGCTAAATTTAAGCTTGAATGCTTGAATGAAAAAATTATAGGTTAATTATAGGGTTAATTAGGAAAAAATCAGATCAGAGTGGAACGAACGTCGGATTCTTTTCTTCCAAATTTCAACACACATACGAGATAATAAAATATACGAGATTTGTGAAAGAGAGTCTGCTCCGTTCAACCCACAATTGTACTCGCATTTAATGTACCAATAATCAGTTGCAACGTCTGTTTTTATCGATGTGTCACCAGGTCTGTCTCTCATGCGAGTGTTCCACCATTTCAAGCAACCGAGCAACCATTGAAGAAGACGTAACGATATATAAATATCCGATCGCGCGACGTATTGCGGCCTAACGGCACGTTAACACTCATTAAGGAAAAAATAAGACCATTAACACTCGCGCGCGTCCCTGAGCCGATCAATGTCGCATGCATATGAATAAGTTTGCACAGTTGCAGCAGCGAGTTGTCTAATGCCAGACGAAGCGTAAACTAAATAGAATCTAACTTTTTATTTAATCGTTTACATTACGTAAGGAAGGCTGATTAGACAGAAGCGGCGCGACGGCGTCTTCTTCAGTTGAATATTCCGGTCACAAATACCGGTGCGCCTGTCTGGGATGCGTATACGTGTAAATATGCGTTTTACATAATGCGTTTTACAAATTTCTAATATAATACGGATAGAAAAATTTCTATCGAGTCATCGTACTTAATTACGGAAATCGAATGTGCGTCGCGAACATAATAAATTGATAAGAAGAGCTTCGTGTCTTTCCTTCCTTCTTTTTCTTTTTTTATATTCTCTTAAATTTTTCACGAGTCTCAAAGTTCAATTTTTACAAAATCCGGTCATGTCGCTCATTGCGAATAACGTTAGCATTCGTTATCGCGCTTGTATCCGACGAGAGCGAGAAATATCGGGCGCAATATCGATTTCAACCGACGCGACGTCGTGGCGGCTCTGAATAAGTCAACGAACTATAGCCTTCACTTCGATAGGCCGTGTTATTTTCAAACAGGCTTACTTCCGGTACATTTTCCAAACCAGTCTCCCGATTTACGCCGCGAAATAAGATCATCGACGAGAATATTTACAAAATATCTCTTATATCTCGCTCGGCTACGCGGTGGGAGTCTATTCTCGATACTTTCTCGCGAATGTAACAGAGCGAATGAACGTTTCAATAAAGTCGAATTAACGAAGAAACGACGATAACAGCCCGAGTAACGTAACGAACGTATATTATATACGGTACGTTACTTCGAGGTCGCATTAGAAGGTTAATTTTGTATGAGTAATATAGGCTGTAATAGAGCCCAAGTTAATGAACTCGTCATTACTCGTCGACGGCGTCAGCACTAATATTATACACGTAACCTTTCGTTTTTTCAACAAAAACTTTAAATGTACGCGCCAGTAGTAGAGGTGTGGTGGTGTTCAGCGAAAAGGAAGGCACCACACCTTTAAAAGAAATCACAGTTATTTGACAATTATTATATTTTTTTCAAACGTATACCAGTATTTTCAACACAGGTTCCTTAGAAAAAAAAAACATAAAAAAAAATCCGAGACCTCGAGTCGTCCAATCGGCAAGCAATCGTCTCGCCGCGAAGCCACACAGCCCGACGGAAGGAACTCTTTCCGACTTTCTCATGTAGTAATAACTTACGAGTTTTGCATTTTTTTTTTTTTACTAAAAAACTAAAATTAGCACGTCACGCGTTCAGTTTTTTAATATAAAAAATGTGGAATTTTTATTTCTATTCTAAGGAATTGTAGAAAAAATGAAAAATGCTAGTGAAACTGTCATTAGGCCGTAATAGAGGCCCTTTTTTTTTATATTACAATGTCGTGCTAACTTGACAGATTCCAATACAATCACGAATGAAAGGGTTGAGAAATAACAGAATAGACTTGTTGAGACGAGACTTGCCGGTGCGCGTCTCTGCGAGTGACACAAAAGAATTCAATTCGCGACAAACAAAATGGGAGTCGTAACGAAGGACGTTGCGATTCCACGCAATACTGTCGCTTACATCACGCTGCTTTAACTCGTTAACAAATAATTTCGTGCGGCCCGGATTCTGCAAAAGGCATGAAGAATTAGTGTCTACCTACCAAAATCGGAGATTGAAACAGAGCTTTGCGCTTCAAGCAAGAGACGGGATTATAAATGCGAGATTTTCTCTGAAAAAAAAAAGACTAAATTGCGAATGACTTGATATAAATGGCAAATTTGGCAAATTGATATTCTCGAAACAATTTTAAGCGAACGTCGCTGAGATAAGATTTTAATGTAACGTTCAATCGGAATGATTAGCATCGAAAAGTAAGAAGCTCGAAAAAAATAATAAAATTTGCAAAACTTGAGGTAATCGTGAAAATATCGATTTCAAGTATCCTTTTTGCTTGATGTTTAATTTTAAGGTAATTTTTTAAAATATTAATAAGTGAAAAAATGCCATATTCGTTCAAGACCGTTTATTCTTCATGCCTGATAATATTTCTTGTGAATTTCTACAATTTCCAATTTCTACCTAACTGTGCGCCGATTTTTTGTTGGTCTTGAAACACAGTCCTAAACCGAAGTTGGAGTAGTAACATCACAAATTAAATTGACAAGCGATTTAACATTATTATTGCTACAAAGACGCACAATGCATCCTATAATAAGCATCTTAAAAACTGTGAATAGTTTTTTATTGCGAAAAACCCCAGCCAGGAGGACATTTTTAATTTTTTATTATCATATTTTACGTCTTTCTTTTTATTCTTGGATATCCCAATATAATGCTCTTACATTTCAAGTTTCGTTAAACGGAATGTACGAAGAATCATGTGTACATTAGTGCTAACGCTATCGACGAATATGACAAGTTCATTAACTTGGATTACTCGATTATAGTCCTCATTTGTTAATTTTGAAAATTAAACGTTCATCGGTTTCCACCGACTCTCTGCCTCGCGACAGCGCAGCGACAGCCTTCACATCGTCAGATCGATGACTGTATGCGTATGGCAGCCAGCACTATACTATACACTAATACTATACACTATAGACGGTACCGCAAGTGCTTGTTCGTGCGTGCGCTCGACGGACGTGTCCGTAGTTCTTTCCTCGTGTGTGTGTGTGGGGGTGTGCGCGTGTGTGTGTGCGCGCGCGCGCGAGCGTGCTCGTACATGGAACGGGGCCAAACTAGTCGACCGCGTTTGAAGAAAACTCGACGCGGGTCGAGCGATAATCCATCGGGTTTTCTTCATTCGCAGATGCCTCCCTAGTTTGCCCATATTCGTGAGCGACGAGAAAAAATACTTTTCGTTCGGAACCACCTGTCCTTTCGAACAAGAGACGCGCCTCTTTCCCCATAAAGAAATTCATATTTCCATTTCGAAATCGATGGAAACCTGCAGTAACTCTATGCGCCGACTCTAATCGATACTCGATATAGATTTTTAACTATCGAAAAATTCGCGAGACGCAGTACAGTAATAACGTGCGTAAACGTGTTACTGCGTTGATAATTTTTCGACTTTGATCTCGAGGAAAATAAGCGACGCACTCGGCGAGTATATCGAAATAAACGTTGAATTTTCGCTTAGTCGAGGAAAATAAGAAATAAGACATAAGAGAAAAGATACTTCTCTCGCGGGGCGATTCGGTGATGGATTCGCCCTGTTTTGTCGCGATACTTACTTGCGAAAGATTGATTGTGTATTCGTGAGGTAGTCGGCGCCATCGCTAATAATTGCAACAGCTCCGATTATTTGCCAAAACTCGACCATCGTACTTTTTATCCCGGGCGATACGCGTATGTGTGTACGCGCCTGTATATGTGCGTGTATATGTGTGAATTTTTTACAACTTGTATACCATCTGAATCACGCATGACAACGCAAAAGTCTGATAAACGAGAGCGTCATATCTTTCGATATAAATTTTTCACCGAACAGGAAATCGCTAATGGCTTGGCTTCAGAATAAAGTAACGTAGCAAAGTAGCAAGTTCGACGGGATCGATGCGAATCTACGCAAATGTGGATTTACTACCGCGCGAGATCTCGAAATGGCGTCCCCTTTCTCTTCGGCAAAATACCGAATTACGCATCCAAATTCCAAATTCCAATTCCCCGACGTTAGGTTACACAACAAATGAAATTCGCGTGATTTTTTTTTTTTTTTTTTTCCGTAAGCTTCAAAAGAATATTTGTTATCACGCAAACTAGAATTACGTAGAATTACGTCATCTTTAATACATAAACAAAAATAGTATAACACGTAATATTTAAAACTATATATGCAAAATGTGACTGTGATGATAAGTTGTTTCAACGTGAGCCGGAAAAAATAATTATAAAAACGTTTATTTATAATTTACGCACGTATTCGCAGAGCATTAATGTATTAACTAAAAATAGTTAACCTTCTCTTATACTGTTAAAATTGCAAATATGATCGTATACCGAGAAAAATCGTTTGTTTCAGCGAAATGCTGTAATGCTTTCGGACTGGAAGATACAGGCGTAGGTTGATCTGGCAACGTAGCAAGAAACGCCGTTGGCTGGCCGTGCTCAGTTTTCATGACACGCGTTACTCTAACCCTTTCCGAAACTCCTGGTGCACATCCCAGTGCCAGTCAAAAGATTCAGAAAATTTGTAATTTTCTAAACGCACGTATCAGTTTTTATTTGCAAAATAAGATTTTTTTGATACAAGCTTTATTAATGGTATAGTTCGCCAAAAAAAAAAAAAAAAAAATATCGCAACCTGTACATAATTCTGTATTTTTTTATATTTCGCTTGTATGTTGTAAACTAGTTTTAAACAAAAGCTTTCAGAAAGAAATTTATCATATAAATAATTCTATTGAAAAATTGCAATCCTGCGGTTACTTTCGTTTCGTGCTTTCCGCGTTGCATTGGTGGTATAAACATATACTTTCATGAGAGAATGAATTTTATTTTATATTATTCAAAATAAAAATGTAGAGAAATAGAGAGAGAGAGAGAGAGAGAGAGAGAGAGAGAGAGAGAGAATTGTTCAGAAGCGAAATTTAAAATTCATGCAATTTCAGCGAATTTATTTCTCAATAAAATCTAATCACTTGAGAAAAACGGAATCGCAACGATTGACGCAAGGTCAATTCTTACGTGCAAGTGTTGCAGGGAATTGAAGTTACCGAAATTGTAACGGTTTCTAACTCTGACCGGAAACACGTGTGAACGAGGGCGAGGGGAAATTGTTTGTCCTTTCCGAAGAGAAGAAGGCGAGCGCGTAGACACAGAGGCGTGTCATTACGCGACAACGCAAAATTACGTAATTATTCTGCTATCGGAAGGCTAGTCCTGATGTGAAGAAGAAAGAAAGAGAGAAAGAGTAAGGAGAGAGGGAGAAATTACACGAAATTTATACGTACGATAAAACTGATAGTTTGCTAACGCAGCAGCTCTCCGTGATTAAACGAGCATAAAGCCTTGCGAAATATTCTCTGGCTGTCGATAGCGAAGCTATCTTATTTAACGTACATCCGTGTGGGAGTGTAAACATTTTTTATTGAAAATTTTTGAAAATTTATAACTTCAAATCTCAAAGTCGCAAGTCACGTTTATTTTGAGACTCCAAGAAACGATTGTTTAAACCCAGTTTTTCATTTTCAAGTCAATTTGTAGACTGAAATCCACTTAACTCAATGATGTAAAAACTGTAATTTTTTTTTTTAGCTACTTAATCATCATCAAACTCATATTTTTGCAACTTTAAAACTACTCACTACAAAGCCATTAGTTTAATGATTAATCATAGGTAAAAAAAAAAAAAAGAATGCAATTTTTACATGTTAGGTTAAGCCTAAATTAACCAGAAAATGAAAAACCGAACTTTAGAGCCGTAATTATGTTACTTGAAACATAGAATTCTATAAATTACAAAAAAAAAAAATCCGCAACTTATTTCCCACGCGATCTTGCACAATGACGTGGCAATCACGTGCAAATCGCTAAAATAAGCGGAGCAAATAACGCTGCAAATACAAAATAAAAATCGCTGTTGAAACTTTGATGTTTACCGTATTCGAGGCATGGTAAAAAGTCTAATAATTCGCTCACGCGATATATACACAATTTCTTGCGAATCGAAAAAGTTTTCGATCGAGTTGGCCCAGCAAGCGTGCGACATTTCCACGTAAGATCGACAGTTGCGCGTTGTTTTTCTCGATTGAAGTATGCGGCAGATAACCGATAAGGGAATCGTTCGTCGCACGAACTTATATAACGTGTGGGCGTGTACTCGAAATTAAATGCTTAGAGTATTTTTGGTATTGAGGACGATTGTATTGATTACGTACGTGTGTATGTGTGTGAATTTTTTCTATTTATCTTTCCCCAGATAACGAGTGTAGTATACTATCCAGATAGTATACTATCCAGGTAGTATACTATCGTACGAGATACTTAAATGTATAGCAAAGATCTGTGAAAAGCCGGCTCTATGGGAGCTGCTATAAGCACATTGAACGTACTTACTTTTCACTTACTTTTCGAAAGGAAAAAGATTTAGGCAAAAGGATTAACATGGCGTAACGCATGAGAGATGTGAAAGATTGAATTGTATTGCACGTAGAAATAGGTAGATGATTAATTAAATGAAGAAGAGAATGGAGCTTTGGGGAAAAAAAATTAATTATTAAAAATTGTAGATTAGACGACAATAATAAATGTAACCGTATTCATTAAACTTCGTTAGGCAAGATTTCCTCGTTCATTGTTAGATGAAATAATTAACAGAATAATTTTGATGTCATATAACTGATTTGCAGTAACTTTTATCATATCAGATACGCCTACACGCGCAATATTAAATATTCAGAAATCTAGATACTGCAAGGTATTCAGATACGCGATGTATTATTCAGGGATATCGTGAAATTAGAGCTTTCCTAATAGAGCACAAGAGTTACGGAGGCCAAGAATGTTTCGCGCATGGCGGCTATTTTGTAAGGTCGTTTCGAACTGGCCAACGTATACAAGGTGTATCGAATGTCGCGTACTTTCTCTTGGCGAAACGGACGCTAAAGGCCAAACTGAGTGGAATGTTGATCGCTTCAATGTCGAGACATCTATAATATTACGTGCATAGAGAAAGCGCGACAAAGTAATATCACCGAAAGTTTGATCCTAGAAAGAAATGATAAGAATTGGATCAAAATTATAAATTAATAAGACCATGTTAATGAGACTGTGGATGTGATATTATAGTGGTTTACATTCTGATGGTAACAGAAGCAAATTTTGAGCAAATTGTAATTAGCCCAACATTACGTGAACAAAAATTCATTAATTCTTTTATAACAAATAGTTCCAAGTGCATCAATTTGTTTGCTTATGAAATATATCATCATCCATTATTGTTCGGAAAGTTTTAACTATAATTTAACTTTTAATTATAATTCGTTATCTAAAACAGATCTCTCCCTAGAGTATTGAATCTTAGCTGATGAAAAAATACAATAGTTGCAGTAGAGTATCAAAACTTTATGAGCAATGGGTTCTCCGACCCTTTGAGAACCTTTCGTCAAGCAAAAACAAAAACGTATGGTGCATACATTTATCGAAATGTATTAAATGATTTCAAAGAAAACGTGTTTTTGATATTTAACAAAATTTTCAAACGTATAATGTTCGCGAATGAAAGACGCGATTTATCTTTCGATTGCCGTCGGCAATAATTCGACGACGGCAGTATCGACCTCCTCGCGCAACGATTCGACGAGATGAAACACTGCGACTGTAACGTCGTCCATTATGTCGGAATTTGCTGTGCGCAAACTAATATCGTCGCGAAAATATCGTCATCCGAGACCTTTCCTCTCCCTTCAAACTCAAGTCTGCGACTCTCAAGTTTGACGAACGACGTTGACGATTCAAATACGAGATTCAAATACGTGCGTGCTAATATTACGTCAGAATATCATAGTATTACAGTTACCTAAGTTACTTCCTTTTATTTGCGGTAAAACAATAAACTAATTAGATATCTCGACTGTTAAATTGAATTCTACTCGAAATAAGGCTACATTGAAATGAACCGACGAGGTCTCTGTTCCCAACCACACTTTCTTCATTTTGTTGTACTTTTTTTCCTTTTTTCCATTTTCCTCGAATAACGAACGTTTATTCATTAGCTTCATTTTAAACACGGAAAGTAATAAAAAGAGGATACGGACGTAAAAAGAACATAAAAAGGACAACCATTCACGAAAATTCTATTCCCATTAGGTACTTAACACTTTTTACGCTTAAAAATAAAATAT